CTGGGCCGCCCTGCGTCTGCTCTTCCTGGCCTGGTGATGCACGTGGCGTTTTTGACCTAGCACCCAGAAGGGTCACCGCAGATATCTTGAGGGCGGCCGCCGGAAGGGGATGAGGGACATGATCTGTTTTCACTTTTCACACCTTGCGAAGTTCCTTAATTTCTAGTCACAGTTAAAAGGAAGGGGTCAGAAGGTTCTTCTGGCAGGGAGGAGGAGGCGTGGGAGGGGGGCACAGCGCTACTTTGGTGGAGGCAGGGGACGTGACCCCAAAGTCAGACAGGTAAACAGAAGTCAGTAAAAATAATAAGACCTTTAGAAAGGACCTTTGTGGGCTGACGGGACCTGGCCCAAGGCTGGGCTGGGGGCTGTGGCTGGCTCTGCCTCTGGCCTCGTGGGAGTCAGGCCACATCTGGCGGGAGGCGCCGGCCAGGACAGGACTGGGCCCCCGGGGCGCTGTCCCCGGAGCCGGGGCTCAGTGAGCGGGCGCTTGGGTCCTCTGAGGGAGGCTCTGCAGAACTTCCCATGAGGCGGCTCGCGCGAGTTTATGAGGAGCGACGTCTGCATAGGCAGGAGCTGCCCCTTTGAAAGGGCAGCTAAGTGAAGGAAAAGACGCCCACACAGACGCTGCCCGGCAGCTCCGAAAGCGCAGGACGTGCCACCTCCCACCGCTCACTCCTGGTCCCTCCGTGTGCAGTCGGCCAGGTGCTCTGCCGGCAGCTGTCCACGCTCCTGCCGCAACTCCTGAGGTCTTCCGCGCAGGTTTGGGGCCTCTGGGGAAGAGCCCATGTCCTTGCCGCGCCCCGACGCTGGCCGGAGGCGGACACAGGCCGCCCGCCCCCCCACTTTGTGCGCGAATGGCAGGCAGAGCCGCCTGACATCTGACTCCCGCAGGTGCGGCGGGAGCAGGACCGGCTCCACCGCAGGTTCGCGGGCCGTGCTGGAGGTGCAGCGGAAGGCGGGCTGTCCTGGGGCACAAGCTGCAGGCGCTCAGCGCCGCGTGGAGAAGAGGAGGTGCAGCTCAGCAAGGTGCTGGCGGCCCCCAACCCAGACCCCGCGGCCCTGACCCTTGTGTCCCGGAAGCTGGAGGCGGGTCCTGCGGTACCCGCGCCCCTGCCCTGGGACCCTCCTTCCAGGCCCAAGCAGGCCTGGGCGGCCCCCCTTCGCCCCAGCTCTTGGGCCTTGTGTGGCCTCTCTGGGGTCTTCGCAGCTCCTCAGTCCCTCGCGGCCTATCCTTCCCAAGCCCCTGCCAATCGGGTCTCAGGTGGGCTTCGGAGCTGCAAATCAGGGTGAGAGACCCAGCAGGGGTAGGCCGGTGCCTCTCTGCCCCCCGACCCAGTTTGGGGAAATACAGGCTGAGGTGCAGTGAGCAGGGCCAGATGAGCCCCGAGTTTGGGCCTGGGGGCAGCCATGGAAGGCTCTGGGCGAGGACTGTGTGGTAGGAGGGCGGGTGGGGGCAGATGCCATCCGTGTGGGTGAGGGCGGGGCTGGGTCTCCTATGAGCTGCTGATCTGGCTGAGGATGCGCGGCTGTGGGGGCTGGGGCTCTGGGCTCAGTGGGGACAAGCTTTGGGACTCGGCGCGGCCTGGTGGACCTAAAGGGCGCCCATCCTGGGCGGGTGGCCTGGCTCAGTCATGCCAGACTGGACAGCAGTCCTGTCTGCGGGGGTCACCGCTGCTGCGCCGGGTGGGGGCGGCCACAGCGGTGCCTCCTGAGCTGCACTGGTGGCAGGGCCTGCAGAGCCAGGCCAGCCTGCCCCTCCGTGGCCTTCACCTTGGAGAACATGGCCATGGAGACAGTTTTGTGCCGGCTGCCCCATGGGGCCCCCAGAGCCCAACCCGGCCTCCGCCCACACAGGGCTCAGTCTCACCTCAGCCTTCGCTGCAGGACGTCCTGAAGTCCAAGAACAGCACCATCAAGGACCTGCAGTATGAACTGGGCCGTGTCTGCAAAGTGGGCACCCACCCCGCCCCCCATCTCTCCCTGTGCCCCAGGTGGGACCTGTCCATTCCCAGCCTGTCCTGGAGCCCTCTGCCGGCCAGGTTGGGTGGGTGCACGTCAGTCTGGAAACCTCAGTGGCCTCTCTGGCCCCTGGGTCCCAGGTGTCTCCATCCTGGTGCCATCTTGGCCTCTGGGGCATGGAGGGGCCTCCTCTGCCCTGAGATTGATGCTACCACCTCCAGCAGGCAAGGCAGGTGTGGTCTTCTCCAGGCCCTCCCAAGACTGATAGCAGCCACCCACCTGCCTGGGGGCCAAACACAGGCCAGTGCCTCCTTGGAGGAGGCCAGAGGGTCAGTGCTGACCCTGCCTGGCTTCCCCAGGGGCCCTGGGCACACTCACCAGGATCTGCCCGATAAGGGGCTCAGGCCTACCAGAGGGGAGCTGGGGGAGGCCGTGCCTGTGGGTGGGGGTGCCCTGCATCCAGGCCACCTGACCTTCCCTCACCCTCCCAGCCTTGCCTGGACACCCCCATGCTGTGGTGCCCCCCAACCCCGCCACTGGCGTGCACAGAAGCAGGGCCTCTGATGCCCTGGGCGGTGGAGCTAGACTTGCATCTGGCCACGGGGAAGGGTGAGGCGCCAGCCCAGGGCCATTCTCCGGAGCTGGCCCTGCTTCACCTTGGCCTTGCCCACCCCCTCCCCACCCCCGACACATATGCATGACTCTCCAGACCCCCCCTGGAGCCCACCCTTCCAGAGAGACCCACTTCCCAGAGTGGAAACAGGGCCAGGGCCATGGCCTGGGTGGGTAGGGGTGCCAGGGAGGAGCTGCCTGCTGTCCCAGCCACATGGTTACTAGGCAGGTCACTGACCGGTGTCCACGCCCTGCCCACAGGCCCACAACGACCTGCTGCAGACCTATGAGGTCTGACCTTCGGGATCCCCCTGGACAATGTGGGCTTCAAGCCCCTGGAGACAACTGTGGTGGGGCAGACGCTGGGCCAGGGCCCCGCAGGGCTCGTGGGCACACTGACATAGCCCCCGAATGATGCCCTTGCATGCAAGGGCCTCCAAGACTTCAGGCATTGGCAAATGAAGGTTCTCCACATCTGCTGCATGTCCTCTTGCCTGTGGGGGCAGCCCCAGGCCCAGCCCTACCCCTAACCTGTGGCCACCCTCCTCGGCCTCCAAGGGCTGGGCCGCAGCAGCTGGAGACCACAGTGGCAGGCCAGCACCATCTTTATTGGCACCAAATCACAGACCCGGCCATGGGACCCCTGGAAGAGGGTGGATGGTGGGTGGATGGGGCGCGTCACTAGCTCCCCCAGTAGGTAGTGTAGGACCGTGGGCTAAGCAACAGGGGCTCCTGGAACTCGTGGGTTTTGCCTGTGATCGTGAAAACCACCTGTGGAGTGGAGAGGGCACTGGGCACCCACCAAGAATGGCTGAGTCAGCTGAGCCCCCCAGATAGCAGGCCTGAAGGCCTGACCCGCAGGGGCCAAAGGAGAGGGCAGTGGGTTGGGCGCCGACCATATGGGTGAGTCCCCTCGCCCTGTCTGCACCCAGGGCCTGGGCTGTGAAGTCCCTGCTGCCTGGGCTGGGCCCCTATGTTCTGGAAGCTAAAAGTTACGGCTGCCAGGGCCAGCCTGGGGGGGTGGGGAGGCTCACCTCCATGTAGGGGTAGAAGTTGGCTTGCCGCCACCTCCTCCAGTAGCCCTCAGTGTCGAAAAATAGCTTGTAGGTGCCCACCTTCATCTGGCCTGGGGGCAGGAGCCCCGGGCAGTGGCTGTCCAGGTGGGTGTAGCTGGGGAAGAGGACAGGTGCTGGGCAAGAGGCTCCATGGTGGCTGGTCCCTGCTAGGGTCCATCAAGGCCCAGCCGGGAGGGGCAGCACAGCCCAGCTGCCCCATGCAGTAGGACTCTGTGCTTGCCCTGCTGCCCAGATGTGGCCCAGCACCTGTGCAGACTCTGAAAGCAGAGTGTTGGGGTCCACTGTCTGGCGGCCTCAGTGCCAGTTTCCTGGCCCGCGTGCTGCACTCAGTCCACAGCCAGCTCTGTTGGTGTGCTCTAGGGGCTCCCCAGGGAGTGGGCCTGTGGCCGTACCCCATACGGACCAAGTCCTTTATATGCATCTGTCCACGGGGCTAAGGGCAGCGGCCATGGGTGGGGTGGTCCCTAACCCCACATTCTGCGGGCCTTGGGTTCCAGCCCCACCTGTACAGGCAGAGGGAACTGCCCCCTCCAAGAGGAGGGACAGGGATGCTGGGGTGGCGGGGCCTGTGGGGTGACTGCGGGGCTGGCTGGGGCCGCTGGGCCTGTGGGGGTGACTGCAGGGCTGGAAGGGGTGGCTGGGCCTGTGGGGGTAAATTTGGGGCTGGCAGGGCGGCCAGGCCTGTGGGGGTGCTGCAAGGCTGGCAGGTGTGTTGGGCAATGGCGAGGAGCAGAATGGGTGCTCTGGGCCGCCTGGCACATGGTCCCAAGCTTGGTCCTCTGCTTGAGACTCAGAGACAAGACTCCAGGCCTGGCCTTCACTGCCCGCCCCACCCAGCCCTGATGAAATGGGCTCCAGGGGCCACGGGCAGTGGTCAGCCCAGCCCAGCCTCACAGCCAGAAATCCTTGTTTGCCCCAGGCCCCTCACCTCTGCCCTGCAGGCCAGGACTCGGGGTGGCCTGAACCCCCTTTCGGGACCCCCTACCTTTTTGTCAGCTCAGTCCACTGCTGGCTATGGTCCTCAAGCCTGGACAGTTGGAGGCAGAGGCCCTTGGCTGTGAGCCCTGAGGCCAGAAGGAGGGAGCAGGGTTTTGGCAGAGAGAAGGGCTCTTTTAAGAGAAAAGGCCACTCTTCCATGTGGACAGGGACGTTCCTTTCCCCATGAGTCTCAAGTCCTGGATTGCTCTCCCTGGGCCCAAGAATCGATTCTCCAGTTACCTACTTGGTCTGATTCCAGATATATACCTTGCCAGAGGTTGCGTTTGTGTGGAGGCCTGGGTAAGAGTGAGTTCTCCGTGGCCCTCCTGACACCTCTGCTTTCAAGGACCAATGAGGTATGTGACCTGGGTCAGATTTGTATGGAGACAAAATTTAATAGAGCAAAGGCAACAAAACAGACAAAACCATGGAGGGGATTGACGGCTATGCCACTCAAGTACCTGTCTGTCCTCATCTCTTGTCTTGAGTGGAGGGTTGTTTAGATGGTTTCTGACCCCACTAAGCTCTTGGGGAGTGGACAGGTCAGTAGACTTCCTCTGAAGCCCCCACCCCCAACCCCAGAGGAAGTGCAGAATGTGTGGCGGCTGCATTTGTCCTCTGTGGCTGCTCAGATATGATTCAAGGGTATGACCAACTCACCCTGCTACAGACGCAGGGCTTCTCCTCTGTGTGTCCTCTAGTGTCTGATGAGGTGTGACTTCTGACTGAAGCCTCGCCCACACTCCCTGCAGACATAGGGCTTCTCCCCTGTGTGTGTCCTCTGGTGTCTGATGAGGTGTGACTTCTGACTGAAGCCTCGCCCACACTCCCTGCAGACATAGGGCTTCTCCCCTGTGTGTGTCCTCTGGTGTCTGATGAGGAGTGACTTACGACTGAAGCCTCGCCCACACTCCCTGCAGACATAGGGCTTCTCCCCTGTGTGTGTCCTCTGGTGTGTGATGAGGAGTGACTTACGACTGAAGCCTCGCCCACACTCCCTGCAGACATAGGGCTTCTCCCCTGTGTGTGTCCTCTGGTGTGTGATGAGGTGTGACTTACGACTGAAGCCTCGCCCACACTCCCTGCAGACATAGGGCTTCTCCCCTGTGTGTGTCCTCTGGTGTGTGATGAGGTGTGACTTCTGACTGAAGCCTCGCCCACACTCCCTGCAGACATAGGGCTTCTCCCCTGTGTGTGTCCTCTGGTGTCTGATGAGGAGTGACTTACGACTGAAGCCTCGCCCACACTCCCTGCAGACATAGGGCTTCTCCCCTGTGTGTGTCCTCTGGTGTGTGATGAGGAGTGACTTACGACTGAAGCCTCGCCCACACTCCCTGCAGACATAGGGCTTCTCCCCTGTGTGTGTCCTCTGGTGTCTGATGAGGAGTGACTTCTGACTGAAGCCTCGCCCACACTCCCTGCAGACATAGGGCTTCTCCCCTGTGTGTGTCCTCTGGTGTGTGCTGAGGTGTGACTGATCATGGATGCCTTGCTCACTCCCTCCATACTTGCCTGTTGTAGTTATTGACAGTCCTACCCCAGTGAATAATTTGCCTGTGTCCTTTGGATTCTCTTTCTGGCCTGTGCTTGGCTCTTCCTCCATCACTCTCTCACGCTCCCTAGAGCTCCACTTTTGCTCTATTGGCAGGTTGGAAAAGGCCTTTGAAACGTTCTTCTGCCCTATCCTTTTAAGCAAAGGTTTGGGTCTTTCTTTGACCTCTTGACTTTCAAGTTTGTCATTCCTGCTGTGGGGATCAGAATGTGGCTGCTGCTGATTCTGACGACCAGGGCAGGGATCCACTGATGGGAAGTGTTTTCTCACAGATGTTGCTGGGAAGATCTGGGCAGGATCATGGTGTTGCACATGTTGGTTGAGGAATTTCTCAGTGGAAAAGGCCAGCGAGCAGGAGGGACATGGATGGATCCCTGGCTTTGGTTCTGCTGAAAGAGGAAGTGTTTGCTGAGATACATGTTGACAGGGTCACCTGGGCCATAGGCCTGGTCTCCTGAAGAGCCCCCGGTTATTCTGAAGCTTTGTCTCCTACCAAGTGTTTCCTTATGGTCTATTTTTCCATTCCTTGTTTACTCACTAAATCTTCAAAGTCCAGAAAGCCCCCATCGAAGGCCTTGTTTACATATCATCCAGGCCAGGGCCCTGCATGTGGCATCAGATAGCTCTGATCCTTACATACAGGGGGCTGCGGGGATCCCCTCATACCAGCGCTCCCATGTCTCTGACATGGAGCTGCAGCTGCTTTATTCCACGGGGAAGTACCAGCACACCAGAGCACCCAGCTGCGCCTGCTGTGGCACCTTATGAGGGGAGAGGACCTGGGAGTGTAGCAGCGGCTCAGCCCAGAGCTCTATGAACACAGACAGTGTGGCCCAGGCCCAGCTGATTGAAGGCTCCTCTTTCCTACAAACCAGCAAATGAAAATGTTCCCTTCTTCCAGCCTTACCCCTGAGATTCATATTTGATTTATTTCATTCTGTCTTAACCCGTTTTAAAACACTGGAAGTCCTGTTCCAAAGTCTACGCACAGCCTTACTTCTCTGGCCTGGCCCGCCTGCCTCAGCCATCCCCGTCCTCTGGCCCTGAGGGGTGAAGTGGCCTAGGGGATTGCCCTGCAGTGCATTCTCCAAAACCGACTGTCATCTTAGAGCACAACATACCGCTGTGCGGCTGAGAATGACACGGTCGCTCCCGCTAGCTCTGGAAAAGCCCCAGTGTGGCTGGGAGCCCTAAGCTACATGTGTTTTCCCAACTCCCTCTTCCTTGGTGCTCCCCTACCTGAGTGGTGGCTAAGCCTCCCTAGACACCCAGCCTGCCTCCTCAACTGCCCCACTAGCTCTCCCTCTGGGAGCCTCTGCCAGCTATTGCTGAGCGGCCTTCCCGCAGTGCCACAGCCTGGATTCCCAAGGCTGGCCCCAACACTGGCAGCTGCGGTGGGGGTGTCACCATCAGCGCTCAGGATGGCGCTGCCACAGCCTGTCTGTCTGGGGCTCCAGTCCCTGCATCCCTGTCTGGCACGGCAGGAGCCCACATTGGCAGGGGGGAGCTGGGGTGAGGGCTCAGCCACAGGCAGATGGCCTCGGTGAGCTTGCTGGGGGGACTGCCTGACCCGCAGCATCTATGCTGTTGTGTATCTTGTGCATGGAGTATAAAAAGTCAGAACAAAAAATAGAATGTAACAATTATTCCCAAGAGGCAATAGGAACCCAATTCTTAATTTCTGAAGCATCTGATGTGAAATCTTACTGACTGAATTTTATTTCGGAGCCAGCCCACCAGCCTCCCTGGAGGGCTTGGGGACAGCAGCACCCACCTCTCTCAGTCGCATGTGCTCTCTTCCACTTGCTGCCCCACTTGATGCCCAGCTCCTGGCCGTACTCGTCGCCATACCAGACCAGCAGCTCGTGGCCCGGCCTGACCACCTGGCAGGTGCGGTAGAATATCTGCCGGTGGTACTGAAAGGCCACCAGGTTCTGCTCCTCCTCGTCCCTGGCACAGTTCACATACCTGGGTTGAGGGGGCAATGGCGAAGAAAGCCAGGAAGTAAGTCCCCAGGCACAAGACCCACATCACTTCTGTCCTGTTGATCAAGCCTCTGTTGCGATGAGCCCCCCTCAGGGTAACTTCTGGTCATGCCTAAGTCCCCCTCACAAGGGACGTGACACCCCCCCACTTCAGTGCTGCTCACCATGGCCCCGTGGCTGCTGTGTCCCCTGCCAGGTGACCACTGGCAAAGCCCACTCCAGGCTGGCCTCCTTGATGCTGAGCCCTTTCCTGCCCTGGATTCTGGTTCATGGCCCAAAGCGTGGTCTGGTTGGCTGCGTGCTTCAGTTAACAGGCCTCTCAGAGTCAGCACCCCTGCCGCCGTCTTCAAGGGACCTTTTTCCATTCTCTCCATGCTTTATCTGAGGGCCCTTCACCCCAGGTTCTCCCAGAAATCTGGAGGGCTCTTTGTCTTAGCATCATAACATGGAGCAACTCTAGTTTATTCACTTTCTATGTCCCCTGATAAAAGGGGAGCCCCCGCATGGAGGGAGGCTGAGCCTCTAAATACAGAGGCCACGGCCAGACTGCTGCCCACCCCAGCCTCAGAGCCCAGTGCCAGCTCACGGCCAGAGACAGAGGTCCCAGTCCAGGCTGGGTGCGTGTGCACAGCTCAAGATACAGGGAAATTATACTTATAATCCCTAGACTGTTTACTGTCTGTCTGCAGTGAGGTCCCCAGACACCAGGGCGTGTGACCATTGGAGTGCAGGATGCACCCCATGCTGAGTGGGTGGGATCCCCTGTCTCTGCCCAATTTATTTTTATTTTTTATTTTTTTAAGATTTATTTTATTTATTTATTTATACAAGCACTGGGTACAGTCAGAAGCGCGGGAGGGTGAGAGAATTCACCAGAGCCAGAGCTGGGAGCAGAGCAGGCAGAAGGACCGAAGTACACTGCTGAGGGGAGCAGCGGGCGGCAGGAGAGGTCTGTGCGCCATGTGGGGCCCTCCTCCGGTGGCCGGGGAGCAGCCAGGGATCCAACCGGCACTGCAGAGACCGCGGGCAGCTTCGCAACCCAGCGCTCAACCGCTGTGCCACCGGGGAAGCCCTCTCTGCCCAATTTAAGCTCCTCATTTTTTTTGTCAAGTGCCCACATTTTGTCTAGTATAGAGATTCATGTTTTGAGGACATACAGTATCTTTTTCATCCCTCTCCCCCATGTGTCTTAAAATACAAGAGCATTGTGGGTCCTCCCTGGTGGTGCAAGGGGTTGAAATGCAACCTATGAAACTGTCTGCAGCCACTGCAGCACGAATTTGATCCCCAGCCAGGGAGGTGACCCACATGGCACGACAGACCTCTCCTGTCACCCTGCTGCTTCCCTCAGCAGTGTATTTCAGTCAATCTGCCTGTTCTGTTCCCCACTCTGTCTCTGGTGAATCCTATTACCCCCACACCTCTGGCCTGTACCACAGTTATGCATGAATAAATAAATCTTTTAAAAAAAGAGCATTGTATGGAAAAGAGGGAGGAGCAGAGGCTTGGAGGAGACCACAGTGGGGTATGGAAGAGAATGGAAAGGCTGTGGAGATGCTTCCTTTCTGGGACTCAGAGGCCCAGCAGCTTTACCTCATCCAGTTGGCCCAAGACTTGTCTTCTCCATTCACGTACTCGTAGCAGTTTCTCCCTTTGGTGATCTGCGTTTTAGAAAGAGAAATTAAGGTGCTTTTGTTCAGAAATGATTTCCTTCTGCCATCACTGCTTTCGCTTGCATGGACTTGGCCTCTGCTGTGGGCATGGGTGAGCCCCTTGGTCATCTTCTCCACCTCTCATCTTTTAGTGGCCCTGAAGCCAGCAATCACCCCCGTCTTCCCTACGGTCTCACCCACCCCCGATCACACACAGAGCTTGTGTTCAGGCGAAGTGCATGTAGCACTCAGAGCCCCTGTCCTCCCCACCTGGCCCAGCCTGGAGAAGGTGAGACCTGTCACCCCAGGAAGCATGTGGCTCTCACCAGCCAGGAGTATCCGCTGTTGGCCGCCTCTTCATCTTCTGTTATTTGGCCCTCATAGGGGCCAAAGTGCAGGCCTAGCGGCAGGTCAGAGGCTTCGTTCCAGACTCCCAGCCCAGCCTCTGGGATGCTCGAAGGCCCAATCCTCAGCCCTGGGGGCAGGGTGAGGGCTGAGCGGTCAGGATGCCCCTTGTCTACCTCATTGTCTTTGATGAATGTAGGGAACCCGTGGGCAGCACAGCTGTCAATGAAGAAGTTCTGACAGTTCTCACAAACTGGAGGCAAGAGCAACAGGGTTGCAAGTTAGAGTATGCACCGGCTGTGAAGCACCCCAGGAAGAACCCTGCACCCTCACTGTGGCTTCTGTCCTGCCCTCTGCGTCTCTAGAGGAAGCGGGTGGTTTGGGGCCAACTGATGAAATGGAGTCATTGGACAGACATGGCAGCCTTCCCTATGAATGGCTGGGGTGACTTACAGAGGTAGTCGTCATCCTGGGGCTCGCTGACCTCTTGGTATGTGTGGTTCTTTCTCTCTCGTAGTGAGTACATCTTCACGTCAGGCTTCTTTCTCCTCAGCTCTGAGGTAGAAAAGAATAGATGAGTGAGGTTGGCGCGTCTGGAGTGTTTGTCTCTGCTTTGTCAGGACATGTGAAATCTTCTTAGACCAAGTTATCTTCTGTTCATAAACTCTGCCCCCCTTTAACCATTAGTGCAGAGCAAGCATCACCCCACACAGACTTCAGGTGCTAAATTCAATTTTTTTAAAGATTTATTTATTCATGCATACAAGAACTGGGGTATAGGCCAGAGGTGTGGGGGGTGAGAGGATTCACCAGACACAGAGTGGGGAACAAAGCAGGCAGACTAACTGAAATACACTGCTGAGGGGAGCAGTGGGCAAGTCAGGAGAGGTCTGCTGCACCTTGTGGGTAGCTCCCTGGCTGAGTGGGGATCAAACTTGTGCTGCAGAAGCTGCGGATTGCTTCATAGTGCTGTGCTTAACCCCTTGCACCACCAGGGAGGACCTAAATTCAATTTTAATATCTGACTCTTCCCATTATCAGGGTTAACTTTCAACCTTTCTACTTCCAAATTGGCTCACTTGCATATTTATTCATTGAGAGAGAGCATCATCAAGGTATGTCAGGCTGGGCACTGCACGAAGGCCTGGGCATACACCAGGAAGCACAGTCCTTGCACTGCACATGGATTTACTTGGCAGCTCCCATGTGTCGATTCTCTTATATCTGAATTAACACTTTCAAACAATTTTTGAGCTATGCGTCCTTACCTCCACTCCACAGATTAGTTAGAAGCTCAGAGGATTTGCAAGGGTTGCCTTGGCCCCCCAAAAACTTGGTAGTTAAACTTAGCTCAGCTTAAGCCCAGGCACATCCAAAGTCCACTCCACACACATAGTTCATTCTTAACCTTTCTACAGGGCTCAGAGGGATGAAACCCCAATTCTTTTCTCTTACCCTGTTTTCGTCTAGAGTGCTGTCCAGAAGTAATTGCTTCTTTAGGAAGTTTCACTGGTCTCTGGGCCTGCTCTGAGCCACTGGTGTTCAGCAAAGCTGATGTTCCTAACATTTCCTTCAAGCTAGATTCATTACTTACTGCAGATCTGGATATTCCCTATAATGTGAGAGTCACATTAAAAGACAAGGTGCATTTCTTTAGTCAGTCAGGGCTTGTGATGTGTTCTCACATGGATGACTTTTGTTGTGTTCTCAACAACCCTTGTAAATAATGAAGGAGTCTGAATTCTAAAGGTAAAAGAAAGAGCTTATGTGGGTAATGAATCCTGGGCTGAACCCTATGTATTAAGGCATTTTCTCTCAGATTTCTTCATAAAAGTGAGTGAGGAAAGGAGAGTACATGGGCAGACTACCTGGACGATCAACAAGGTCTGTGAAAGGAGTACACAGAACACAACGCAGGTGTAAAGAGAGAGGAGTGTCCTTTATGGTAAATAGGAAGGAGCTTGAGAGGATTAGGTAAAATAAAGCAAGTCAGAAATATAAAGACAAATATTGGACAATGTTACTTATATGAGTAAAATAAGGATCAAAGTGGATATACTGATGAAGTGAAATAATTAAAAAGCTGTGAACATTGATAACCCAAAGCAAGTTTTTGAGGTTAAGAGGGAGCAAGAAGGGCATGAGGGCCAAAGGGATAAGTTATGGTTAAAAAAAAAAGGCTCATAGAGAAAAAGAGGGGGGTTGTCTATAACCTAGTGAAAGAGAAAGTGTAGATAAATGGGAACAGATATATCTGGAAAATGAGGTAGCAGAGTAGTGACAGAAATAAAACCCTTCTCTCTTAGGAAGAGGACAAAGAAATGATTGGCAGGAAATGTATCCAGGCAATAAAGAACATAATGCTAAAGCTGCAAGTTGCCATATGTGGGGAAGGATATTTGTGCCTAGATGAGGTGGTTTCTGTCAGTCCTGTTTGAGTGAGTCCATACTACTGTTTAGTTTTCTTTAGTTTCCTGATCTGCAAACTGGCATATGAGATAATTCTTTTTTTTTAAGATTTATTTATTTATACATACAAGAACTGGAGTACAGGCCAGAGGTGTGGGGGGGGCAAGAGGATTCACTGGAGCCAGAATGGGGAACAGAACAGAACAGGCAGATTGACTGAAATACACTGCTTAGGGGAGCAGCAGGCAAGTCAGGAGAAGTCTGCTGCGCCATGTTGGTAGCTCCCTGGCTGGGGATTGAACTTGTGCTGCAGTGGCTGTGAATAGCTTTATAGGTTGCATCTTAATCCCTTGTACCACCAGGCAGTCCCATATGGGATAATTATTAACATCAGAGTGACAAGAAATGTAACAGTGTTCCCCAAAGAGTTTTGTGAGCCATTAACAAGGCATGACTGTGAGATTACAGTCCTGCTTTCAGACCACCCCCAAAACCACCTGTGTTTGAAATCTTCCCTGAAGATACTATCGTCAGCATTCTTTGACCCCCCCACTTACTTCTAGTTGGACTTGTGAATGTGGAGTTGCTCATGCAGAAAACATGGGGTTCCCCTGGGTGCCCTCAGCTGGGCCTACGTCTTCTGAGAAGAATCATGTATGGACCAGGCTTTCCAAGAGCTTGCCCAGGGAGAAAGCAGGTTAACAAAAGACTCCAAAAACTTGGACTTTCCTGATTAGATCGCTGAGAAAGCAGCTGTTACAGTCTCTGACAGAAACGAATGTTTTAAATCACTTCTGTTGGAAAGTTCCTATTGTACAGTGTGTAACCTCTACAAAGTCCTTAAGTTGTTTTCTCGCTTATTGTTTCTCAACATCAAATCTGTAGCTCCTCAGGACTGGGAGCTGCTTCCTCGCAGTAGAGTGGGGTGCTCAGAGGGTGGGTACCCTATCTCCTTCACTTGTCCACGGTACACATCATCCACCATACAGGTTGCTCATATAGTAATCAACTCTCATCAGTCAGAGGGATCTTTGGTTTTAGCACAGCAGAAAAGATCTGAGGTTTACAAAGGGTCAGGTGAAGACAGACCTTGAAAGTTGACCATAGATATGAATCATCCAGAAGGAGAAGGGGATGGGGGAGGTGGTGGGGAGTAGTGAAAATGGGGTGAGGGGAGAGGAAGAGCACAGGAGAATATGGTGATGGACTTTGGGTGCTTTGGTGGAGGGAGAACTATGGTGCCTATACCTGAGGGGAGATACTGTCCAAAATTTAACAATGACGTAAGAAAAAAGTACTGTATTTAAAAATTAAAAAAAAAAGAACTGAAGTTGAAATCATCAGTAGATGTATGATGTTATGATAGATGAATAATGCAATGCAAACTTTATAAGCTGTAATGAACTTGTAAGTAGTCTAGAGAAAGAACTTTGGATTAGATTACATAACCAATGTAACTGTGATCGCAGACACAGTCAATTCTGTGCCTAAATTTCCTCATCTACAAATAATGACAGTCATGGGATGTACCATGTAGGATTGTGGTGAAGTTAAATGAGGTTATTCATGTAAAATGCCTATAATAAAGTCTGAAACATCATGAAAGTGAAACAAGAGTTAGCTGCTATTGTTGCTGTCCTGATCATCTGCTGAATGATGGTATTGTTTCTTGTGTCAGACAAGGAGGTGAGCATTTCCTAGGGTTCTCTGTGCATTCTCATGCACTTACCTGTGTTCAGATCCATGTGGAAGACTGGTCAACAGGATTTGGGAAATACTCACCTTCTGGCGTTTACTCTGTTCTACTTGGAAGGCCACCCACGGATGTTTGACTAGAAGGTGATGAGAAATCAGTATTTTGGTTGGTGAATGTTTTCAAACTCTGGAGATTCTCATTAGGGACACACAATTCTGAACCAGAGAGTAATGAATACAGATGTGGAGAAGTTGGAACCCTACGCACTGTGGGTGGAAATGTGAAATGGGGCAGCAGCTATGGACACAGCAGGAGTTTCCTCAAAAATTTAAAAACAGAACTGTCATGTGATCTGGCATTCCACTCCTGGATATAGGTCCAGAACTATTGAAATAGCAGTTTAAGTAAATATTTATAAACCCATGGTCATTGCTGCATTATTCACAATATGCAAGCCGTGGAAACAACCTAAATATCTATCAATGGATGGCTAGATAATGAAAATGTGGTCTATACATAAAATGGAATATTATTAAGTCTTACAAAAGAAGAAAATCCTGTCATATGCTACAACATCAATGGATCTTGTTGATATGACATAGTGACAACCATTCACAAAAGACAAATGCTGCTTGATTCCATTCATAGGAGCTATCTAATTAATCAAGTTCATGGAAAGAGTAAATAGCATGGTGGTTGCCACGTAAAGGGTGAGGAGGAACTGGAGCTGCTGTTCAATGGGCTTAGAGTTGTGTTCATGCAAGATGAGAAAATGTTCTAGAGAGCCATTAGACAATAATGTGCATATAGTTAAAATATGCACTGTGCACTTAAAAATTGTTAAGAAGATAAATTTGTTAGGTGCTTTTTTTCTTTACACAAAAAATTTACTGGGTTGGAGTTATTTCTTTTATATTTATTTACTTATGCATAGAAGAACTGGGATGTAGACCTGAGGTGCAAGGGGGTAAGAGGACTCACCAGAGACAGAGTGGGGAGCAGAACAAGAAAATCCACTGAAATCCACTGCTGAGGGGAGTAGCAGAGAGACAGGAGAGGTCTGCTGCACCCTGTGGGTCAGCTCCTTGGCCGGGAATGGAACTCAGGCCTCAGTGGTGGAGGTTTTAAATGAGCCCAGATGAAGATGTGTAGGTGTCTGGAAACCATGGGGTATACATTCTCTATGGACTCTTTTCATATCAAAACCTTTGGGGATAGTCACCTGTTGAGTTTTCAGATTTACACTACTTTTAAGAGCCTGAGGTATCAAAAATCCATAGATGTGGAAATCCTAATCTAAGTTGCTTTCTCCAGTTTATGCAGGTTGATTCCTTTAAAGTCTCCTGTCTAAACAGCACAAGAGCAAGTTAGCCCCTAACTTAAATTATTTTAAAATGATTGTGTTTCATTTACTCAACGGTGTTTCTGGCCACGGATATAGGAGAGATCAGGGAGACTTAGTAGCTCTCTCAAATGTGTTCCCAAAATCAAATCAAAGAATCAGGTTCATTTTGGGGTATGAAAATGTGTTGTGATTTAAATATACACACATAAATTATCATTACAGACTGTGTTAATCATTTCCTTTTCTAAGATATTTAATTCAGTAGTTAAAATATGATGAAATTAGTGTCAGAAAGCTCTTCAGCAATTTAAGTGTAGGGTTTCTTTAATTGTCCTTTTATTAATTAACAACGTTTAGCAAAAATAATCTTTAACTTGTTAAACTAATAGGAAAGTATGGAAAATTATCCTGGGAAACCTATACTTTCAGTACCATTTAATCTGATCTCAACATTCTTCCACAATGGCTTCAGATATTTTAATTTTTATTTCCAATTAGAAAAAAAGTCAAAAAAAAAAACAAGCCAAGAGACAGCAAAGCCACTTGCCAGCCCTTTCTCTTTCTCTTTCTGATTACTATTCTTAATTTGGTATTTACCAGCTTTGGGTTTTATACTTTATAGGTTCAGGGTTTACTGCTTAACAATGTATCTAAAAAGAATTTTAAGCCCTTTAAACCTTTACATGAGAAGCCTCTTGCTGTGTTTCGCATTTTATTTCACACAGCGAAAGAACTGAACATTTCTGTTCTTGAGGAATCACTGTTTCCTTGGTTACCTCCTGAGATGCAGCTGCACCCGGACCCAGGTTGGGTTCAGGGGGATGCGCTACATTCTCCAGGTGCCTTCTCACCTTGCCGCCGTGGTGTCCACTCTTCGTCGGAATCCTCGCTGTCCTCTCCCTTGGGTTTGATGGCCAGCCTGCGGTGGCACATGAAAGCTGGCCGAGGGGCTCTGAGACCTGCGAAGAAGCAAATCTTTGCTGGAAAAGGGAAGAGCTGGAAGAGGGACAGAGGCAGGTGGGCTGGGAGAGTGGAGCAAGCGAGGTGTGCGGGCTGCTCTGCCAGCCAGCGGGCTCTGAGAGCATGCACCACAGTTGCCTCCAGATTTGTGGCCACGCGTGGACAGGTGGAGCCCCTTGGGAGGGTGCCAATTAATATGCGACCAGCTATTCCACCGCCTCACGCCCCCAGCTCCTCTGAGCGCTGCACTTCGCGTTACCTATACTGATCAGCGTCTGGTAGTTCCTCTTCACGTTGCGATAGCGCCGTTTCTCCCAGTCCCCCATGGCGGTCCACTCCTCCTTGGAGAAGTACCTGGCGATGTCTCTGAACGAGTCCTTGGCCTGAGGGGAGCACATCTCAGCGCGCGCTGTGCGGGTCAGTGTGGCCTGACTTCCGTGTGCTGGCTGTGCGCTGTGCTCTGGAAAGATCTTCCTCCCCGGGCTCTGTGCCAGCGCTGCCCATTTTCTGTCCCTGGCACAGGGCGCGGCGCTGGGGTCCCAGGCCCGCCCGCTCCCATTCTGCGATCACTCGGGGGTCCCCGCCAGCTCCCGCCACTGGGCTTCCAGGTGCTTCTGTCACCAGCCCCCTGCCCGCCCCTGCCGGCGCTGCCCGCAGCGGCCCCACTGCTCACCGGCGCCCCTCGGCGTCCGCCTGTGTCTCCCTTGGGGCTCTCCTCCCGGGGCCAGGAGGGGCTCATGGCTGGCGAGAGTCCCTGGGCGCCCCAAGCCCGCGGCAGGAAACCTGCAGGAGGGCCGAGAAGGGCGAAGCCAGGTCAGTCGTCCTTTCGGGAGGGCGCCGGGGACAGGAAGGCGGGACGCACGGGGCGCCGAGGGGCCCCGAGGGGCCCAGTGCACGGGGGCAGAGGCCTGAGGCGGGCAGAGGCCTGGGGCGCCCGGACGCCAGCCCGAGGGCCTGCCGTGCCGCGCGGCCTGTCTGCGGGAGACCCCAGCGGCGCCGGACCCGGGCGCCCCGGCCCTGGAGCTGGGCGGCGCGGCTGGCCAAGGGGGCGCGGACGCCGCCTGGGCTGGGGCTCTGCAGGGGCTGCCGGAAAGTCTGCGCGTCAGAGCGGGCTCGGCCTCTAAGAGGGGCTGAGACCCCCTGACGACAGTGGGGTCCCAGGCTGAGAGGGTTTAGGGTTCCCTCAGGCTGAGGGAAATGAGGTCCCAGGATCTCACGCTGCGGGATCTCAGTTCAAGGGTTTCGGAGTCTCCTGGGGTGACACGAGGCCGGCAGGGCGGGGCGACGGGTCAGTGCGAGCCTGAGGGTTTCGGGGTCTGAGGCGGGAACTTGGTCTCTCAGGGGCTGATGTGTTTGGGGCTCCTCAGGTGGGGTGTCCAGCGGTGCCTCAGGCTGAAGGGGCCCGTTACAGGCCTTGGGGTCTGGGCCGGGGGCTGCGGGGCCTCACTGAGGAACTTCGGGATTCCTGCGGCTTAGCGAGCGAGGTTGCAGCACCCTTGGGACCCGGCTGGTGCCTCCGGCTCTGCAGGGCTGCCGCCCACCACGCGGCTGCTCCCTCCCGGCTACGCCCACCTCAGGCGCTGCCGCCGCCGCGGCGCCTCAGCCAGTCAGCGCCGCCAGAGCCCGACGGCGCTGCCCGCCAATGGGCTGTCGGGATCGGTCTGGGGGCGGGGCCTAGCCGGGGCTGGGGAGAGGCATCGCGGGGCCCAACTAGGGGCGGGGCGGGGCGGGGCAGGGCCTAGCACTGGGGGGATCAGGGCCCAGCCAGGAGGCGTGGCCCATGGGCGTGGCCCAAACTGGGGGCGGGTCCCATTCTGGTGGTGGGAGGTGGCATGGGCGGGGCCGTCCCGGGGGCCGGGCGGGGGAGTGGGCGGGGCGTAGGCGGGACTGCGCCTATCCTGGGGGCGGGTCCCATCCCGGGGGCGGGGCTGCCTCTCCACCCGCGCTCCCGCTTCCAGGTCTCCAGGTGGGCTCGAGGGGCGTGGGGTGCCCATCTCGAGGGGCGCCCCTACCAGCCATTTTGTTGGAGATGTTTGCGGTGTCTGCAGCTTCCTGCTGCCGTCCCCTCGGGCCTGGCGTCGGGCTGCGGGTCCGGAGACCAGACAGTCTGCGGCGACCCTAGGGCTGCGGCCCCATCCGCCCCGCCCGGCCCGCGCGAGGAAGCTCAGTCCTGGGCTCGTCCCCCGAGGCCGCCGCAGGCCGCGGTCCCTCCGCAGATGCGCGGGGCCGACGTGCGGGCTCCGGCCTGTCCCTCCAGCCTCGCGTCGGCAGGGGCCGCGGGGCTGCCGCCCAGAGGGGAGGGCGGGGAGGTCCGCGCAGGGGCCGCAGCGTGACCGCCCCTGGTGTCGCCCGTCTCGGCCGAGGGCCGGGCGCGTCACGTCGGCCTCGCGTCTGCGGGGCGAACCGCCGGGTGACGCCGGGTCCCGTCGCTGTGCGCGGGGACTGGTTTGCCGGTCACTTAAGGAATCTCTCGCCTGCATTTACTAGAGATGATGGCGCGGCCTCGTCTCTCCGTGCAGTGCCCTTGTCTGGTCTGGCGCGAGCGTGATGTGGGCAGCTGGGAGCTGAGGACGCAGCCTCGCTTCCTCCGCTCTGGGCGAGAGTGAGAGTGGAACAGGGACACACACACGCCTTCAGGTTCGGTAGAATTCCCCCGCAAACCCACGTAGTTCGGCCTGTGTTGGGGGGAGAGTGGGGGGTTTATTACATTTTCTATTTCGGTAGTTGTCGTCTGTCGAAGCTTTCCATTTCGTCCTGCTTCATTCTGGGTAGACATTGTTGTTCTTAAAATGTATCCATTCCTTCCACATTATCCAATTTATGGCCGTGTAACTGTTCCCAGTTGTGAGCCCCTGCATTGCCCCCCCCCTCATTTCTCCATGCATCTTTTATTTCTCCATGCACACAAGAACTGGGGTACAGGCCAGAGGTGGGGGGGTGAGAGGTTTCACCAGAGACAGAGTGGGGAGCAGAACAGGCAGATCCACTGAAATACACTGCTGAGGGGAGCAGCAGGCGAGTCAGGAGAGGTCTGCTGCGCCATGTGGGTTTCTCCCTGGCCTGGGGATTGAACTCGTGCTGCAGTGGCTGCAGCTAGCTTCATAGGTTGCTTCTTAACCCCTTGTGCCACCAGGGAGGCCCAGGTTTTCTCTTCTTTACGAGCCTGACTAAAGGTTTGTCAACTGTCTCTTCTCGAAGAACCAACCCTTGGTTTCACTGTTCTTTTGTATTGTCTTTTTAGTGTCTATTTTATTTATTTCTGCTTTAACTTTTAAATTTCCTTTCTCCTGCTAATTTTTGGCTTTGTTCTTCTTTTCCAAGTTCCTTTAGGAGTAAGGGTAAGTTGGTCATTTGAGATTTTCTTCTTTCTTCATGTAGACCTACATTTTAATTAAATTTCCTCTCGATATACCTTTTGTTGCTGCCCATGAATTCTGATAACTTTTATCCTTATTTTCATTTATCTCTGGGCATTTTAAAGTGCTTGCTTTACTCTCTTGTCCACCAGTGGTTAGTGAGAAGCATGTTTTTAATCCCCACGTGTTTGAGGCTTTTCCAGGTTTCCTTTTGTGGTTGATGTTATTCTCATAGCATAATGGTCCGAAAAAGCCGCCGATGATTTCAATATCCATAATTAATCACCACGGGAAGATGAGAGGGTGATGCTCTAGAGTGTCGTGCCCCCAGCCAGGCTGGAAATGGTGGGCTTTTAAATCAATCTGAGGATGAGAACCACTGGACATTTCCATGCCGCCCGGTTCACTGAGATATCATGTGTTTGAAAACTCTCAGCCAAGTGCAATTGTGGAGACTTCTAAAGGAATGTTTATGTTAAATATTGGCTTCTTTTAAATAATATATAAAATAATATTATTTAAAAAATATTATTTATATATGCATAGAAGAGCTGGGGTGTAGGCAAGAGGTGCAGGGTGGGGGGTGGTGAGAGGACGTCCCAGAGACAGAGTGGGGAGCAGAACAGGCAGATCCACTGAAATGCACTGCTAAGGGGAGCAGCGAGTGAGACGGGAGGTCTGCTGCGCCGTGTGGGTAGCTACCTGGCAGGGGATCAAACTTGTGCTGCAGTGGCTTGCGGACAGCTTCATAGGTTGCCTCTTAACCCCTTGTGCCACCAGGGAGGCCCCACCATTTTTATTTTTAAAGATCTATTTTTACTTATTTATGCATACAAGAGCTGGGATGCAGTCCACAGGTGCGGGGGTGGGGTGAGAGGACTCCCCAGAGACGGAGTGAGGAACGGAACAGGTGGATCCACTGAGATTCACTGCTGACGGGAGCAGCAAGGAGACAGGAGAAGTCTGCTGTGCCCTGTGGGTCAGCTCCCCGGCCAGGGATGGCACTAAGGTCACAGTGGCTGCTAACAGTGCTGAGACTAACCCCTGTGCCCCCAGGGAGGGGCTTAATTCTAATTAAATCTTCGGAAACTTCCACATCTCACTGAGATAGTACACCCACAGTCCTCCATCCACTATCCCCCCCACCCTTTAAATTGAATGCCTTCAGGGTTTAATATTTAACTCTTGTTACTTTTGAGTCAAGAAATATAATCTTCATAATATTCAGGAAGCATTCTTCTAATCTTGCTTTTCTAAAAGTTTTGATCACAGTGAGTTTAAAAATCTTAGAATATTTTTATGTATGTAGAGGTGAGGAAATGCTTTTCATTTGTCTAGTGTCATTTTCTATCAGTGGATTCTTAATAGTAACAGTATTTATATTTCTAGAATTAACTCTAATCTGTTGTGAAGACTCAAAGATTTGATGCATATTGTAACAGGAGTGAGAAGAGGGGCACTCCAGAATCCCCAGACGTGCCCTAAATAGGTTCTGCCACCCACTGCATCAAGACAAGACATCCTCTAGTGTGTAAGACCTTTCATGAGAAGGAACTTTAATGCAATCAGTGTGCAACAACGAAAAGGGGAAGAAGAAAGTCTCCAAATCAAGCACCCAAAGTCACCTGTCCCCTGGTGGGTAAAGGCCCAGCCAAACAGGATTGGCCCAGAGCAGGGCCGCTGAGACCTGAGAGCCTGCCCCAGTCTAAGGCACCTCCTGGTGGGGACCCATGGGAAAGTGTCAGAAAAAGCCAGACAAGTCTGGGAAGAAAATAGGAAAATCAAAATCAAGATAAAAGTTGCCACTGCCACCTCCCCACGGGTCTCTCACCCACTTCTATTTCAACCAATGCAGGACTAAAAAGCAAGTGCAGGCCTCCTGGGGGGTGCAGGGGTTAGTCTCAGCACTATCAGGCTGTCACCACTGGGGCCTGAGTCCATCCCAGCCAGGGAGCTGACCCACAGGGCACAGCAGACCTCTCCTGTCTCCCTGCTGTTCCCCTCAGCAGTGGCTCTCAGTGGGTCTGCCTGTTGTGCTCTCCACTCTGTCTCTGCTAAATCTTCTCACCCTCACCCCTCTGGCCTATACCCCAGCTCTTGTATGCATAAACAAACACACCTCTTAAAAAATAAAAAAAAAAGAAACGAGTGCAACTTCTTCAATGTCTCTCTCTCCATGTGCCTCCTCCAGGTCTCCCTCTCACCCTCCATCCTCTTCTTTCTCCTCAGTCTCCTCTTCAGGTTTTTTCCTCCCTGCTCAGGCCCACCCTACTCTGGGTGGGGAACCTGGAACCTTCCCTTTCCCTGGGGAGCCCCCTTCTGCAACATGATTTGTAAACTTTGTTTTTTAAAAAGATTTATGTATGTATACAAGAACTGGGGGTACAGGCTTTTTGATTAACCCCAGTAGCCTCAAGGCTGTAGTTGGGCCTTGGACCCCACTTCTGGTCGACCTCAGCAGCCTCAGGCTAGGGCTGGGGCCAGCCTTCTATTTGACCCCGGTGGCCTCCAGGCTGAGGCTGGGCCTTGGGCCAGCCTTTCAGTTGAACCTGGTAGCCTCCAGGCTGGGGCTGGGGCTGGCCTTCTTGTCAACTCCGGCAGCCTCAGGCTGGGGATGGGGCTGGCATACTGGTTGATGCCAGCAGTCTCCAGGCTGGGGCTGGGCCTTGGGCGGGACTTCTCTGGCATCCTCCAGCCTGGGGTTTGGGCCAGCATTCTGGTCCACCCAGGAAGCCTCCAGGCTAGGTTGGGGCTGGGGTTGGTCTTCTGCTCGACCAGACAGCCTCCAGGTTGGGGTTGGGGCTGACTTTCTTGTTGACTGTGGTAGTCACCAGGCTGTAGCTGGAGTCAGCCTTCTGGTCCACCCAGGAAGCCTCCAGGCTGGGGCTGGGGCCAGCCATCTGGCTCCCTCAGTGAACCCCTTGTCCTGGGTTCGTGGGGCTGGGACACCCCAGGCAGGTGTGCAGTTCTGCTCGGGATGTCCCCTGGTCAGGGTTCCCCCCTCTTAAACCTCTCACCCTAGGCCCTGGGGCTGGGGTGCCCCTGGGAAGGTGGTTGGCCATGTGCCCGGGGTTCCCTGTGAACCCCTCACCCTGAGCCCCACTGACGCGGGCCCCCCTGGGCAAGCAGGTGGGCCCCCGCGGCCAGGGTTCCCCCCCACCCCCG